TAATAATTGTATATTTCCATAGTATGGATATAGTATCAAAATATGATGGATATACTATGGATTTACTGCCTCGTACCCAGGCGCTTACATGAAGTATTCAGGTAGGCATCCGACGCGCGAAGGGGCTGTTGGGAAGGGTGCGTGCTGGGGAGCGCCTGGCAGTTCTTGTATACTGTCATGGCGGGAAAACAGGGAATTTTATACAAAAAGTTACCATATCGTCATATACTCTGTGTGTAAAACCTTACTTTGTGATGAAGAGTTGAATTGAACGCCATTGGCAAATAATACATTTGTAGATGTTCGATGACATGCAAAATGCGCGAAAAATTATGAGTAAATAACATGACAAGTTAACCGTGCGAATATTTCGAATATGTCATTCGATATTACATGGAGAATAATAAAATGCTATCAGTTGCTCAGTTAGCATAAAACAGTAACAGAGAAATGATTAGAAAGTCATATAATTGCTTTTGTATTAATAACTTCTTTAGCTGAAAGCTCTATCAGTCGATCACAATGCCAATGGCAATTTCTATTAAATGTATACTGTAAACAAAAGCCCAAGTAAATAAACGTTCACAGCCGTAAAGTTTGAAATATTTATTACAATAGTGCAATTTTATAGTCTGTACCTTTATATAGTTATAGCTTACAAATCTAGTTCCTGCAAGTCTAGTTCTTCAACGCTTCGGTTGTTGACATGTTAATATTGAAATTTCCATGGACTTTAAGGGCATATATATGTCATATATACCAAGAATAACAGCATGAATTCACGCCCGGATGACAGAAGAATATTAATATTAGTCAATTCAAGAAAAACAAGTAGCAAAAAATCGTAAACGACAACGAAATAGCACAACTTGCAAGAAATCGTACAAATTTGCAAGAAATCGACCAAGAACTGCCAGGCGTCTCGCAGTTCAAGTGCACTCTTCCCATCAGCCCCTTCGCCATCTCTCCCCACTACAATACTTCATGTAAACACGTCATATGGGCATCACTGTTTTTTTACAAAGAGACGCCTGGGTACGAGGCAGATGGATTTAGTGGTGCAATTGCAAATTTCGTAGTATGGATTTCACTTTTTTTCCAGTGAATTCCACATGGATTTCACATTATGAAGGCTTGTGGGACGTATATATAGCAAGCGTGTGTGAACTATTACCTGTTGTTCTAGAGCATCAGTTTCTTGAATCAAAGCAGCGCGTTCAGTCAACACAGAAAGATATTTCTCAAAACCGTCACTCAATGCATCCCAGACATGTTCCTTAGAACTATCAATCACGCTCGTCATTTTTTCCCAATACTCTGCATCCCAACTAACAAAAATAACCAGAAACAATTATTATTTAAAGACAATTCTTTATGTGCAGGCCTTGTATATAGGCTTGCGTCAGAACACTAGATAGCGCATCTCTTTTAGTAAAATTGAAGCCAAGAATATTCCAGCGGTTACCCCCATTTGAATAGATGGCGGCCATGTTGGAGTTTCCCATTCGTTTAAAAAACAACAATAACTTTCATCATTTGAATAGTTTATAAACGTATTTGGAATAGGTTTAACTTAATGTTCAAGGTCCCCGTTTAAAATATAGAAATCATACGAATCTTCTCATTTCAGGGAAATATCCAGAGTCTGCAATCACGGCTTCAGTTTTTGAATTGCAGAATAATTAGATGCGCTATCTAGTGTATAGAAGATATCTATGGTCTGCAGAACGCCTTATAGCGCTCTTGTATAAGGGAATCAAAGTAAAGGCCGTTGAGGCTGATTTGATAATTTGAAGTCCGAGTTAAAAACGTCGCTTGTAAGCTCCCAATTCAAGCTTACCTCGCATTACGACTTGCATCACCACAAGCATTCTTGAATGTACTTTTCTTTGATTCTCTAATAAACAGAACGTAACATATTCGAGGTTAGAATTATGGTAAGTCCCATTGAACTATATATATATATATATATATATATATCTGGAGCAAGCACTGTAGTAGGCTATTCTTATAGTATGATAATACGAGGCACGCTCTTGGAGTGCTCACATGAATACTCAATGGGCCTATTCCCTAATGAACAAAATTTTGATCTAGATAAGTCTACTAGTAGACAAAAATTTCATCACAGCTTGAAAGAGGCTTTTTTATGTTGCTAAAGATCTATGGCGTAAGCTATAGCCATTGAACTATAAATAAACTGGAAGGCTAACTCCTATGATGAAGGCCTATGATTCGTTGAAGCAGCCCGCGCGGGAAAATCAGCTTTCAAAAGGACTAAGGAGAGTTTCGAGGAGTGAGAAAAATTCGGTCAAAAGTTTGTTTTCGAGCAAAAATGTGCAAGAAAAACACTTTTTCCATGGGAATACTGCTATGATTGGAATTCAAACCAGGTTTTCCGATTAGTTCCAACTGTTTTACATCTCTCTGCAGCAAAAAGTAAGGAGTTTTGCTTTTGTATTTTGAAAAAATGACGAAAGTTTGGACGTGCCGAAGGAAACTTCGCTCTTCAACACAAAAAAATATACTATAAAACATTTTGACAGTCCCAAAACTTATGCTGTACTAAATCCCAGGTCTTGTTATTGATCCTGAGCTTTTAGTCTTGGTTTTATTCCTTCTAATACATAAATAAATTGGCGTTTTTCAAGTGATGTTATTTTCGTCATCGCTCTTCTTGTTGGCCACTATGAGCAATTTGAATATGGCAATATTTTTGTCAATTTTTAAATGCTTTTTTTTCGACCTCAAAACGTTCAATCTTCTTGAAACTTCGCACACAGATGTATTTTGCATGGGTTTAAATAATTCCTGAGGTATGACGTCTTAGTTTTATCTTAAACTTTCAAAAACTCAGAAAAAAAGCCTAAAACGCGCGGCTTTTCTGACCGTTAATGCTTATGGTCGTGTTTTTTCGTATTTTTTTTGCTAATTCGTGATTTGTTTGATTTGCGAATATTAAAATCGTTTATCATACTACTGATATAAATTAAATTTGGTGGTAAAACTAATATTTTGGGGTAAGATTTTTCTGATCAAAAAATGTGCATATTTTGAAAAAAAAATTTAAAAAGGACTGGGGCTACCTGCAGAAAACACTCATAGCCGGCTTCAAAGATGGCGGCGAACTTATCGTTCCAGTTTATTTATAGTTCAATGGCTATAGCATATACGATATGGCGTAAGCTATATACCCTGCCATGATTGATAGGTTGTATTAGTGTATTAGAATGTTAGTGTTTGTAATCCAAGTGAGTATATATACATTTTAAGACCTGACTAGGAACGACTGCGAAAAATGCAGCACAAGGTCCTCTAGTAGGAATTGAACCTACGGCCCCATCAGGTCTTAAAATGTATATATACTCACTTGGATTACAAACCCTAACATTCTAATATTAATACCACCAAGTGAAGTGCAAGAAACAAATCATTGAAGTCCTGTATTAGTATATTCTTGTGTTTGTATTTGTGCAGATCGTGTTAAATTGGCAAAGCATAATAAATAAATATACATGGAGCTAACTGGTAAGGACTTGGTTTTGTTGATCAGTACTCACTTCAAAACTTGACGATTTTCTTCAACAAAATTTCTTAACTTCGTGACGACTTCGTTCGGGTGAATAAGCTCGGGAACAACTAAAAAAATCAAATTTTTATTTTCTTGTTGATTTGCTTCGCGATAATTGTTTCATTTTTGAGAAAACACTGACCTTTTGTAGAACTTGTTGATTTAGCCTTCGAATCTTGTGTTTCAATTCTCTCATCATCTTGGCTTTGTTTAACATAACAAATGATCAATCAGTTAGTTACCCACTCTGGATGTGATAGCCGAACACAAACTGGTCAGAACGTCTCAAATTTCAATTAATCTTACCCTTCATCTACGTCAACGATATTTTTCGTGTCATTTTCACCAACAAAGAAATATCTTGCTAAGTTGTATATATCATCTTCATTCTCCACGCCCAACGCCTGAAACACAACATCAACGGTTTTTGTCACTATAGACTATTGAAACGAGTGTGTAAATAAAACAAAATTCTTACTGCAAAAATGGCATCAAGCCTCATTAGGGATTGCTCGTCCTTCTCAAGCGGAGCAAGTAGTCTGGTTAACTTCGCTTCAACTAAAAATCCCTAAACAAAAGATTAGTATATAGTTATTAGTAAATATAACACTTACAATCATGGTAATTTTAACAACTGTCGTTTGATGATGTGAAATTCATCTATAATTGACCAAATGATGTGAATGAAATTGATCTATGTATATGATTATGATTGACCAAATGATGTGAAATTGATCTATGATTAATCAAAATTGACAAAACATGCAAAAATTCACCAAAAGGTCTTAGGCACAGAATAGATAATAGGACCAGAAGTCTTACTCAAGCGGAAACATGTCCCATCTTTTATACTGCGCATGCGCGAGCTAAACAAGTGTAATGCAGTGTTGACAATAGAAAATTATATTGGGAAGTTGTCATTTCTACAGTAAAAACAGCTTTTTTTTCAAGTAGTACGAATTGTGACTTCGATTTATCTGTGGAACTATTTGAACAGAAGGTAAAGCAGTAATTTTGTTGTATTTAGAAAGCAAACAGGGTCATATTTTTAAAAATATAGCGCACTGAATATAAATTCGAGCATCATTAAAATGTGTTCGCTATGATGCCATTTTGTCTCCGGTATATACGGAGTTCTGCTTTTATACTTGTGGATATTCGAATTTATTTGGCTCAAAAACACCATTACTTCAATATCCCTTTCTTGTTTTTCCTTGGATAGGTTTTAACAAGATAGAACTCTAGATCACTTGGGTCCAAAGACGCTAGATTATAAAATCCTGATGTGACTTGATACTACAAATAGAATATGTCTTATGATTTAATACTACAAATAGAATGTCTTTTAAGTACAAACTTCAATGAATTGATAAAGTGTAAGGATAGTGTTTAAAGTCGCTTCATGTGTAGAAGCTGAATTACTTTAGTTTATACACTGTATATTGTCGAGATCACATGTTGATATGACTTAATGCTAGCAACTTGCAATAAGTGGTCTGTTCTGCTTGTTTATAATACTTTAGAGTTTGGACATTAGAACATTGTAATTGCCTGACAGAGACTGTTAGGGCCTGTTTGTATGGAAGCCGGGCTGGCCCGCTTAGCAAGACAGCCCTGGTAAGGTAGGTAAGCAGGATGATTTCTCTTGTGTTTATTTGAGAAAATTTCATTCCGCTTACCAGGACAATTTTGTTGTTTTGACATTATTTTGACAGTTGTTAAAAATAGCTTGCGGCAGTATCTTTGAACTTTCATCCCGGCAACCGGGCTAGCCTGCTTATGATTGTTTATGTGGAGAAATTTCCATCCTGGTCTTGGCAACCGGGCCTGCCCGCTTGTCCATAGAAATGATAATTTGTACTATAAAAATAACTAGACAGCGAGATCTCACTTACCGGGCTGTCTCACTTAGCGGGCCAGCCAGTTTCGATATAAACAGGCCCTTACACAACTGCTAAAAGCTGCAAGTTTCTTTAAAGCAATATCATCTATATCACAGAATACAGTTTCTGTAGTGACTCTCACTGTAACTCAGTAGTCTCAGTTATTCCTTCTCAAGAAAAATAAAAAAACAAAGCTGTGTGGGTGTGTTTTTGCTCTAGCTAGTTTTTACATTTACATGGTTCATGTACAATTAATGTACATTTAGATTAGCTTTGTTCAATGAATACAGGTGTGATTCAAATATCATTCCTGTCAGGTACTTGGGTCAAATAGACATAAGCATACCAAATCATGCTGTGAATTGAAATACAAGTATAGGGTGTGTATTGTTTAATAAATATATTTTCCAGTTAACCCAGTAAGCTGCATTGTGCCCCAATGCACCCTACTTTACTAGTTTATTTCACTTCATCTAATGCCAGATGATTTTACTTATCGAGGGAGAGTGCTGCTGCTCATTGAGCTCTGATTGAGTTCACTGAGTGGCAGCACTTTCCCCTTGACGAGTGAAATTGTCTGGCGTTAGACAGAGTAAAATAATCTTGCGTTCAATCAAGCAGCTACTTTTTCAAAAGCTCAACCAGGCTAAAGATTCTTTGATTTGAAAACCAAAGTGATAGTGAACTAGTTAGTTGAAACAAACAGAATTGTTTGATTTATTTACTTCCCACAACATTGACAATTAAAATTTAATTTGATACTTTTCCAGTATATTGACATTATATAGGTTCAGATTTGACTACCATTACCATTAAGGGACCATCAACCAATCAAATGCATTTGATATATTCGATCAACCATTATAATGAAAGTGTGAGTTTATTCATAAACTAATTATAAATCAACTTCCATGCAATGCTTCATGCAATCATCTAGTTATGCACCAGTCAATGTAAATCCCTGCCCCCAACCGGGGAGGGGCGGAAGGTTTAGCGGGGAAAGTGGTCAGTTTTGATTATAAATTTGTCCCCGATGATGGGAGACTTGGACAGTGGTTAACATATATATCCTGTGTTGCTGTTTTAGTTTTCTTGACAAGAAAAGTTTAAATACAACAACATAAATGAATTTGATTTTCTATTGCTGATCTATGATTATACAAAACTATTTTCCTGGGGTTGAGAGACTGCAGGGGACATTGATGTCCCTGGGGGCGGGGACAATTTCGCTCTTTTACTACCCCTCCAAGTCAAAATCCCTGTCCCTCCCTGGTTGGGGGGTTTACATTGGTGCATTAATTAAAGAAGTGTCAGTGCCACATATGTAGTAAAAGCCAACTTGTCAGTAAAGGCCACAGAGCAAGATTGTATTTCAAAGACTGCCAGTGACAAAAACAATTGATAGTCCTGAAATAGAGTATGCCAACAGTTAGTATACTGCAAATAACTATTCTATCAACAAGATAATGTGTGTGTTTTACAAGTGTTTTTTATATATCAATCCAATGGCATGTAACCTAAAATTCAGCAGTGTCTGTGTAATGAAATACACCCTTACTTCTCAAATATGGTCAAATTAACTATACTACATTGTGTATAATAATATATGGCTGGTTCAAAAATATATTGAATTTATATTAGTGAACTGGTGAACTATTGATGTAGAGATTATGCCAAGTATAGAATGGCACAAGGATTTTCATGTTATCAACATGATTAAATCGTGAGATTTTGCAAATAATCTGTGTAAAATCTCTTAGAGATATCCTCGGTAGCTACATTTTAAGGTAAAATGACTATGGTAAAGCTATTCAAGGCAAAAAAGCAATGGATCTGTCAACCTCGTTGTCAACAGTAAATTTAGCTAAGTTTATGATCCATTTATTGCCGTATTTTAGCTGAGAATTCATTTAAGACAATGCAGTACGATAGACTTACCTTTGAATTTATGATATATTCTTTTAAAAGGGTCACCAAAGCTCTAAAACTCGATTGGTATCGTTTTAACTTCCTCACTCCTTAATGTTTACATGTAAATTTGTCAAATTACACTTGTTTAGGGCACTGGAAACGAGACACGGCCAAGATGCGCGAGGCGACATGCGCGGGGACATCAACATCAAAGATTCCGACATCGAGTGAGACTTCTGGTCTTATTATTTATTTTGTGTCTTAGGTTTCGACACCACTAAATGCAACCCAGACCTAAAATAATGAAAGAGTAACCGAATGGAAAAATGTTGTCATGCATGCATTCACTGTTGACAGTAACCCGAAAAAGCAATCCACTATGTTTTGTTTACCATCTTGGAGATACAACGCTGGTCCACGTTAGGAAAAAGACCTCGGATGTATCATTACCAACCACCTCACTTGGGATCAACAAGTCCTCGTTGTGGTGTGCAAAGCCAACAAAATGCTTGGACTCTTACGTAGGACATGCCCCTTGCTGACTAACACGAAAGTGCGGCGTTCCTTGTACCTCTCCCTGGTGAAGTGCCACCTCGATTACGCTACCCATGCAAGTTTGGTCTCCAGCACTCACTTCACTGAAGATCAAAATTGAAAATGTTCAAAGAAGGGCAACGAGGTGGATCCTGAAGCAACGAAAAGGTGAACAGTCGTACAAGAAAAGACTGGTGACCTTGAAGTTACTGCCATTATGTTACGATCGCGAAGTAAAGGATTTGGTTTTCTCTTACAAGGCAATGCATGGGTATATAAATTTGGATATCAATAACTTTGTTTCCTTTGAAACCCACGGACGTACTAGGTTAAGCGAAGCGAGAACTCTAAAAACTCCGTCCTGCAGAACAAGCACCTTCCAAGGATCGTACTTCAACCGCATAGTCAAGCTCTGGAACAGTATTATGATCACTTCCACTTCTCAAACTTTTCCAGCTTATCGATGTTTAAAAACATATTTAGTTTAGAGCTGAACAGAACCTTTGACGTGGACACGACGTGCACATGGAGTCTGGTAAGGGACTGCTCTTGCCATAGGTCATAGAGTAAACCAATTATGTAGAAGTAAAGCGTCCAAATAGGAATGAATGATGTTTCATGCGTCAACTTAACTAATCACTCCAAGAGAGTTTGACTAGCTAGCTTGATCTCCATATCATCATTTTAGAGAAGGAAGGTGCCTTGCATGGGACTTCTACAAAGCCTCGTTCGCACCTTCCCTTTTGGGCCAGTTGATATTGAACTAATTATTTTAAAGTAATTTATGGCACCAATAAAGTTGTTAAATAAATAACTTACAGCTTCATCTGAGAGTAATTCCAATATCGTCTTGATCGTTGAGAGAGATAACTTAGACTTGCCAACAGATTGTTTACTATGAACAGTTGACGTACTTTTATCTTGATCTTCCTTCGACACATCTACAACGCAAAGACTGGTTTACTTTATTTCTACCACGAAACCCGGACAGCAGGCTTTTAGCCGGCAGGGCGTCCAGGCGTCCTGAGACGCCCATAGAACAAAAAATGGACGCCTTTGGACGCCCAAATTCTGGGGGGGAAGGAAAATTATTTTCTATTATTTCCCTAAGTATATTAATATATCTGAAACGAAATAGCTTCAATTCTCATTATTATTATACACTTGACATTTTGATCAATTTGATGGTGTACCTGGCTGAATGAAAATGTCGTAGTTAAGTAAAGAAGCATAGCGGCACAAACTCACAAAGCCAAGTGTGTTTGAAAAATTTCGAACGAGCTTGGAACAGATACGGACATGAAGTAACGTAAATTTCAAAGGTTTTTCAGAGGAACGATTTCTCGAACCCTCCCCTCTTTACTGTAGATGTATCGTTGTACCAAAATTGGACGCCCTCTTTTAGGACCCTGGCTACAAGCCTGCCGGACAGCACTGCCCGCCTGTCACTACAGCCTAAAACTAAAGAATAATAACGGCTTATTGACCGAGCGTGAGGTCTGTACTGTGAAATATCAGACCGAGGTTTTTAGTATGGACCGAGCGACGAAGGAGCGAGGTCCATGCAAAAAACAGAGGTCTGATGTTTCACAGTACAGACCGAACAAGCGAGGTCAATAATCGGTTTATTATATGGCTTAACTGAGTCTGTGAGCATATGCTTTTCGCGCGAATTAAATCGGCTATCGTCAGTTTCACTGGGTAACAATATACGGTATAGGCATGCATGCTCAATCAAAAACAATTTGGTTGTTTGAAATTTTTATCTGTAAATTTTAATGACACACAATTGGAAAATTTAAAAGCAAAAATTCTTTCTGTTTGCAAAGCAAAAATTTCCCGCCAGATAAACGACATCCGGGACACCGGTCCTTTTTGAAAAGCCATATAACAATCTAATTTAGTGTATTTTACCTGCTGTTAGGGCCTTCTGTGCAACCTGCGTTGCTGAAAGTTTTTTTTCCTCTTTATTTTCAACCATGATAGGACCTTTAGATTCTAGAAAATCGCTGAGACAACACATGACGTATCATTAGTCTAATAGTAATTTACATCTTTGAGGTCTTCAAACAAAAGGAATTTTTAAAGAATGAAGTTTTCACATGCATGTACATACATACATACATACATACATACATACAGTCATATTAAGGTCTACTAATATTAAGGTCTCTATCAGGAACACCTTATATATAAATATATACACAGTTAAGAATATGAAACCCTATCTACGAGTACGTTTCACATTTACAAGTGAAACTTAGCTACTTGCAGCTGCGAGCTACCGTGAAACTCTCACATGTGGAAACAAATCACAGTGTCACGTGATAACCTCATTTCACATGTAAAGTATGCGGAGAGTTGCGACTTTCGCCCGCGTTTGGCCGTAAACTCTCATGTAACTTTAGTTCCCGTTGACCGGGGCACGAGAGTTGAGAAAACTCTCATGCAACGCAACAACTCTCATCAACTCTCATGTAACTTTTGTTCCCGTTGACCAGGGCACGAGAGTTGAGAAAACTCTCATGCAACAACTCTCATCAACTCTCATGTAACTTTTGTTCCCGTTGACCAGGGCACGAGAGTTGAGAAAACTCTCATGCAACTCTCATCAACTCTCATGTAACTTTTGTTCCCGTTGACCAGGGCACGAGAGTTGAGAAAACTCTCATGCAACTCTCATCAACTCTCATGTAACTTTTGTTCCCGTTGACCAGGGCACGAGAGTTGAGAAAACTCCCATGTAACTTTTGTTCTCGTTGACCAGGGCACGAGAGTTGAGAAAACCCTCCTATCATTATGATTGGACCAGAGCTTAATTCAATGTAATGACTTACAGTTGAGGTGTTGTCCAAGGTAGTCCCAACTGTTGTTCATGAATAATCCGATCTTCTTCGAGAACATCTTTGATCAATTCTTTCGCTTCAGCCTCGTTCATTAACCACATCTCCAGAAACTTCTTCGAGTCTGTCGCTTGAAAATGTCTAGACGGTGATCACTCATTGTTAAACACTGACTTACAAATCTTTCAAAACTTGAATTCCCCAAATGCAAAATTCCTACCATGATAGCAGAAACTTTGATAGTTTAAACCAGCCTTGACACATGGACGTTTATTACTGTTGTAAGATTTTCTTAGTTACATCTGCATGTGGTATAGGGGTAGGGTTTGCATTCATTGAAAAAATCTCTCACCTAAATTTCTTTTGTAGTTCTCTATATTGTTCGGTGATTCTTTCATAATCATCCGTCAATGATTGATTATCCTCTCTGTAATACAAAACAAGTAAGCTAGAGAACAATCTAGTTAGTTAGTTAGTTAGTTAGGGCCCACACAGCCCAAGGGCCCACAGTAATTGGTTTTAACTGTTGTCACTTGTGGTGCCCCAGCCATCTGACAGTATGTATTGTACTGTTCTGAACTATATATATATATATATACTGTACTGTCTTGTGTTCGATTGTATCGTTTTCTTTTGTATTGTATCGTTTTGGTATCGTATCGTATACATGTCATTGTGTAAAATTATTAAATGGCGAAGTTGTATATATAAATATAAATAAATAAATTATTATTATTATTATTATTAAATATATTTACTGATTTTGTAACCGAAGGTTAAATTACATCAGCTATACTACAAATAATTAAATATAAAGGAGTAAACTACTATTTACAATTTAATTTCGAAATAATTTGTGGTAAGAAGGATTTCTAAAACGTTCTGTTTTACAATAATAATTATTATATTTACAATTTCCCCTCGTATCATAGACCGAAGAGGATTTATTAGGTAAAAATTCATCCAATTTTTGAAGGTTCTCAAAAAGAACTGTTCGCATAAAATCTCACGTCGTTCCTTCAAGGATGGAATATTAATAAGTTCGCGTGCATCGTTATAGCTAAGTTCTGGTAAAATAATTTTCAAAGCTCTTCTTTGAACCCTTTCAATATCATCACGCAAATAACCTGGAATGTTGAAGTGCCAAACTTGGCAAGCGTATTCTAAGACTGGCCTTATAATAGTGGTAAATGCGATGGATAACATTCTAGTGTCAGCGTTGGCTCGTTTCAATAACCTGAGCATATACAATCTTTTCCCAGATTTCTTAACAATTTTATTAACGTGTTCATTCCAATTCATTTTGGTTTGGATCGTAACGCCGAGAATTTGGGCAGAATTTACACGTGAATTTACACGCAGAATTTATTTGCCAAAAAAAAGACTGTTAGCTATTTACAAAATATTATAATAAAATAAAGTCGGCGAGGAGACCTCAAGAAGCTTAGAG